CAATTGCAATCACCATTACTAGGGCTCTGCACAGCCCAGCAGCACTCCAGCACCTGCAGGATTATTTTGAACTTGCATCATGGTTTGGGGAAACCAGGCATTAGGGAGAGAGGGCGGAAGGGGCTGCTCTCACCTCCCAGGAGCTTCCATTTGGAGTTTGTTCGGAATTCCTCCATGAGCTTCACCTCCTCGGGGCGCTCATCAATGAACTCTGCCACCTACAAACACCCAGCGAGCACCAGGGGCTCAGTAAAAGGCACAGCTCCCACTGCTCACACAGGCAGCAGCTCCCCCAGTCCCTCTGCCTTGCTCCAGCAGCCGTTCTGGAGCACAGAGCCCCATGCTGGCCCGCAGAGCACGGGCTGCCTGGATCCGCAGGGAGCTCCCTCCTTCCTGCAGGGCTCCCGCCCACCCCCGAGGCAGAACACGCCACAAGAGAGGCGCTCCAGCGAGTTCTTCCCTAAGGGAGACAGGAGGTGAGCGCCAGAACAGACTGAGGCTGTAAGAGCGCATCCGCCGGGGCTCCCCGCTCACCACAGGCATGTCCCCTTCGTCCTCCTCGTCCTCCTCCTTCTCCGGGGCGGCGGCGATGCTGCTCCAGCTCACATCGTCATCCACGATCCGCATCCTGGCAGCGGGGAGAGGCACGGTCAGGGCCCGTGGGGATCCGCGGCGGGGCAGCCCCGGGGAGGGTCCTGGCCCCGGGGTCTCGGGGCTCGGTTCGGAGCGGGGATTTCGGGGCGGTGCGCTCGGGGCGGCTCCCAAGGCCGGGCAGCGCACAGGGTCGCGCCTGCTGCCCCCTCCCCGGGACTCACCCGCCTCTGGCGGTGCCGGCCGGCGGTTTCCTCCTGCGGCGGCGGCGGGGCGGGCCGGGCTCGGCGGGGCCGCTCAGGTACCGCCGCAGGTACTCGGCCTTCGACAGCCCCGGAGCCGCCATCGCGCTCTGACGCAAAACTGCGGCGCCGACAGGAAGGGGCGGGGCATGAGCGTGGCGGGATGAGATGGGCGTGGTCACTACCATATATGGAATTGCAGCGGGATGGGCGTGGCCAGACCGCGGATAGGCCATAAATGGAACGGAGGGCGGGGCTATAGGCGTGGTCAAACGGCGGCCAATGCCATAAATGGAGTGGGAGCGGAGCTTTAGGTGTGGTCAGCCAATACCATAAATGGAGCAGAGGGCGGGGCTGTAGGCGTGTCCAAACGGCGGCCAATGCCATAAATGGAGCTGCGGGCGGGGCCGTGGGCGTGGCCAGGCGGCGGTGGCGGTTATGAATGGAGCAGCAGGAGGCCACGACGCCATCAGCGTTTTCAATCAGCTTTATTGGGGAGCCACCCCGTGCCCCAAATGAGCAGCAGCAGCAGCAGCAGCTCACAGCACAGCTCCACAGGGAGGCCCCGAGCCGCTGCTGCGGGCAGGAACAACTCCCCGGCCCCAGGAAGGGCAGAGGAGCCCTGGCCCCACACAAGTCCTGGTCCCTGGCGCAGCTGGGGCAGGGGGGTGGCAGGGCTGGGCTGGCCCTGCTACCGGCCCGAGGCCGGCTCTGCCTCGTAGCCCTCTGTCCTCATGTCGTTCAGGCCCAGCTCCTCGTTCTGCTCAAAGGTGCGCTCGTAGCGCTGCACGCTCAGCTCCGGGTCCTCCTCCGGGGCGTACACGTTCTGTGGGGACAGGGCACAGCTCCTGCACTCCCCTGTGCCCCCAGGCTGGGAGCCCTGGGCACCCCCACAAAGCCAGCAGGGCTTCCAGCATCTCCTGGTGCCCAGAGCTCCAATGGGAAGCCCACTGCCACCACGTGCCAGGGAAATGAACCCCCCAAAGGGCTCAGGGAGCCCAGCCCGAGGGCCCAGGGCTGTACCTGAAGGTAGCTGTTGCCTGCAGGGTCGTCCATGATGAAGTGAGCCTGGGCCTTCCCCTCTATGATCTGCAGGAACACAGCATGTCCCACTAAGGCTCCTCCTAATCCTTCAGCCTCTCCTGGACCCGTGCAGAGCACGGAAAATCCAGAGTAAACTCACGTCCTGCAGCTTCCCAATGAACTCCTGCAGCTTCCCTGTCCTGCTGGCCGTGGAGCTGTCCCCCAGGGTGAAGGGGTTCTTCTCTACCTGCAAGGGCAGGTGAGGCAGCTGTGAGGCAGCCAGCCCCCCCAGCAGGGCCAGCCAGGGGCTGAGACCCCCCAGCAGGGCCAGCCAGGGGGCTGAGCCCCCCAGGAGCACTCACCAGGTCCCGGATGTCCTTCAGCAGCCCCTCCAGCGTGGTGAACTTCCCCCCCAGCGCTCCCATGCCCAGCTCGAACTCCAGCTCAGGGATCTCCACGCTGCACGTCTCTGACTGCAGAGGGGAGCCCCCCATGAGCCCGTGCTGGGCCCCCCACATCCCCCAGGAGGACGGGGCAGGGATCCTGGGCACTGCACCTTCAGGATATCCCTGGTCATGTCGGAGGGATCTGTAATCCTGAGGGTGATCCTGGTGCCCTGCGCCTCGATGGCTCCTCCAGACTTCACCTGGAAACAGCTGGCAGTGAGCTCACACCCAGCCCTCCCCCTGCGCTTTAACAGGCTCAGCCCAGCAGCCCAGAGGCCTCTCCAAAGCTGGGACAGTGGCCTCAGCAGCCAGCAGAAAGCCCCAGGTGCAGTCTCCCTCCCCAGCAGCCCAGGTGGGAAGCAGAGCTCAGGGACACAGGCACAGAGCTCCACTCCCTGCCCTCTGCCCAGCTCACCTCGTTGGTCCTGTGCCCACAGGAGTCACAGTTGGTGGCCATGATAATCACTTCCTTGAAGTGGGGGATTTCTGGAGCAGGGAGTCAAGGTAAACATCAAAGCAGCAGCCGAGGGATGGCAGAACCCCACTGAGAGGAGTTGTGAGCAGCCCTGAGTCAGCTCTGCACGCCAGCAGGCCCCAGCTGAGAGCTGCCTCAGGCCTGTGGAGCAGCAGGGAGAGCCCAGGCACGCAGTGCCCCCAGCCCTGTGCAAGGATACGCACTAACTTCATGTTGGTGCTGGCCGGGGCGTTGCACTCGGGGCAGTTGGTGTTGAACTGCAGCACCTGGGGAGGGAAGGGGCAGCCTGAAGGTCCCAGCCAGCCCAGAGCACCTGGCCTGAGTGTCCCTGAGGCTGCAGCAGCCCCCACCTCGTCCCTCAGGTCCTCGGCAGCGTCCGGCGGCTTCGCGTCCACCTCCTCTCCCTGCAAGGACAGCAAAGTCAGCCCCTGCTCCCTGCTGGGGCTCCCAGGGAGCAGGGCAAGGAGCAGGGGCTGCTGCAGTCACCTGCAGGCCCAGCAGGGCACACTGCTGGGGGCTCCTCCTGTAGTGAGTGACCAGCAGGGCCTCGTCCCTCTGTGGTGCCCGCGGGTTCTCCACAAAGCTGTTCCCAGAGGGATCATCCAGGATCTGCAGGACAAGGGAGGGCCTGAGGGAGATGCCCTGCAGCCTCACCCTGCCAGGCCTGCCCTGCCCTGAGCACTCACAAAGGTGAAGGGGGAGCTGACTTCCTTCAGCTGCTTCAGTTTACCAATGAACTCATCTATCTTCCTGGCCACCTCTTTGTCTGTTGCCTGGAAGGGGACATGGAACCACAGAACCCTTAAAATGGGGACAGCTCAAGGTGGGGCTCAGCTGCTGGGGACAGCCCAGAGGTGACTGTGGCACAGATAGAGCTGTCCCCAGCAGCCCCGTGTGACTGCAGCAGGCAGGGGATGGACACCCCAAGCACTCTCCATCCCTGAGGAGTTTCCCTTTCCAGCCCTTACCCTGCGGGTGGGCTGGTCCTGCTCCAGGCCTGCCACAGCTCTGTCAATGATGCCCTCGATGGTGGTGAGCACTTGGCAAAGCAAGAACACAGAGCTGACAACACCATGAACAGACCCCAGGCATCCCCAGGAGCCCCCCAAGCACGGCCCCATTCACCCACCTCCCTTCTGGCTGAAGGCAGGCACCTCAAAGTCCAGCTCTGGAATTCGGGCTGAGGCACAGTCGGTCTTCACCACCTCCCTGTTCATGTCCTGCACAGAGCAGGGAGCAGCCTGAGCCTCCCCTGGCACACAGGGGGAACCCAGAGGCCTGGCCCAGCCAGGGATGTGCAGGTGCTGGGCCTGCAGCAGGGCAGGGTGGGGCAGTGCCCACCTGGCGGGAGGTGACGGCCAGGGTGTAGCGCACGCCCTGCTCCTGGATCCTGCCCGCTGCCTGGATCTCTGTGTTGGACCAGGAGCAGCTGGGGCACGAGAAGGAGCTGACAATGATCTCCTTGAAGAAGGGGATCCTGGTGAGCAGGAGCCGGGTCACTCCCTGCGGGGGCAGTGAGGGGCTTTGTGGGAACCGAGCCTGGGGCCATGGCCCTGACAGCACCTCCGGCACGGGCAGGTCCCTGCCCCTCCTCTGCCTACCCCACAAACCTCCCCTCACCCCCCAGGAGCTCCTGGAAACGCCCTCCCGACCCCACCAGCGCCCCCTGCTCCGAGAGCAGCTGTGGCCCCCAGCAGGTCCTTCCTCACTCCTGCCCCCACTGGAACCCCCCAGCAGCCCCTGCCCGCCCCTCCCCACGGCCACTGGAGACCCCCGAGCCCAGCCCACACAGGTGTGCGTCCCCTGACCCCACAGACCCCCGTACCGGCCCTGGCCCCGCACACCCCTGTCCTGCTCTCCCCCTGTACCGGCCCTGGCCCCGCACGTCCCTGTCCTGCTCTCCCTCGGCCCCCGCAGGCCCCGGTGCCCCCCAGTCCCCCCAGTCCCCGCAGGCCGCCACTGCCCGGCCCCCCGGGGCCCCTCACGTTGCGGAAGCAATTCATGCACAGGGACTCGATCTCTGCCGGCTGCTGCTCGCCGTCCTCGGCGCTCAGGGGCCGGAACAGGGCCCCGGCGGGCGCAGCCGCCGCCGCGGTGGCCCCGAGGGCCGACATGATGGTGGCGCGTCACGCGGCGGCGCGAGGAGATGACGTATACGGGTCACGTGGCTCGGGCGGATCATGTGACTTGCGCGGGCCGCGATGGCGGCGCCTTTATTGGGGTTCAGCGCAGGAGCTGCCCCGGGCCCGCACTGGGGCCTTCCCCGAGACCCTCCCCGGGATCCCCCCCGGGGCCCTCCCCGCCCCGCTCGCTCAGGCTCAGCGCCAGGTCCCGCCATAGCGCGTCCAGCCGGGCGCGCAGATCCTCCACGGGCGGCGGCGGCGCGTCCAGCGGCCCCTCGGGCGGCTCCGGGCGGGCGCTGAGCTTCAGCCGCATCTCCTCGGTCTCCTGGTCCAGCGCCCGGGTGAAGGCCTGGATCTGCGCGTACGTGTCCCGCCGGAACTCCTCCACGCGCCGCTGCACCTCCCGCGCCAGCGCCTCCCGGGAGCGGCCCGGGGGCGCCGCGGCCCCGCCGGGGTACAGGCTCAGCTTGGCCTTCAGCTGCTCCAGGTTCCGCTGGATCTGCCGGTGCAGGTCCCGCGCGTTGCGGGTCAGCTTGGCCGACAGCTCCTGGATGTGCTGGTTGAGCTGCTCGGGGCTGGCGCGGGCGTGCGGGGCCACGCCGCGGTGCAGCTCCTGCACGTTGCGGTGGATCTCGCTCAGCAGCCGCTCGGCGTACGGCTGGAAGATGTCCTTCACCTGCTCCGTGTGGAAGGCGATCTTGTCGCCGTAGTGAGCCACGAAGCGCTGCAGCTCGTCAGCGCCGTCCAGGAGCTGCGCCGCCACCTCCCGGCTGGGCACCAGGTGCCGCCGCAGCTCCCGGGCCCGCAGGGACACCTGGTCCAGCAGCTCCTCCGTGAGCGGCCGCAGCTGCTGCCGCAGCTCGTCCAGCTGCCTGCCGACCTGCTGGTGCACCTCGTCCACGTACGGGGACAGCTGCAGGCGGAGGCTGTCCAGCTCCCTCCGGAGGGCCTTGCGCAGGCTGGCCGGGTCCTCGTACAGCCGGGGGGGCTGCAGCCCCCTGCCCAGCGGGGACAGCTTCTCCAGGAAGGCCCCCATGGAGCTGACCCCATCCTGAATGCTCTCCTTCAGGTTCCTGCACGAGAGAGCCCCGAGTGACCGCGGCCCCCCCGTGCCCCCCACCCCAATAAACGCTGTTTCCCCCGCGGGCCCTGCCCTGCCGGCCCGGAGGGGAGCGGGGCGCGGCACTCACGTGCTGTCGCTGCCCAGCTTGCTGTGGCCGCGCTCCAGGCTGTCCTTGTCCCCCGTCAGCTGGCTCAGGTACTGCCAGAGCCCGCTCTGCGCCGCCTCGGCCGGGGACACTGCGGGCGGGAGCGCCGCTGCTGCTGCTGCTGCTGCCCGGCCGCCCCCGCAGCCCCCGGGGGCACCCCTGAGCCCGCCCCGGGCCCGCACCCACCTGGGCAGGCGGCCAGGAGCCAGAGGAGTAGCGCGGCCTTCAGCAGCATGCTCGGGCTGCGGGAGAGGGGACAGGAGCCGTCCGAGTGCTTACGGGGGGCTGCACGGCCCCTCGCTGCTCCCCGCAAGGACCTGGGGTCCCCTGGACACCCGCAGCTCCCCTAAAAACCCCCGGGGTTCCCCATGACACCTGTGGGTCCCGGAACACCTCGGCTGCCCCGCTGGAGTCACGCCCAGCTCCTCCGGCCGCACAGACTTAAAGGCCCCCGCCCCTCACCTGGCTCGGGTCGCCTCCCGTGTCCCTCCCGCCCGGAGGCGGCCGCTGCCCGCCCTTATGTAGGCTCGGGGGGCGGCCGAGGAGCGGCCGATAAGGCGGCTTTGGGACGGGAAGGCTTTTTGGACCTCACTCCGTGTAAACACAACGTGGAGGTCCGGGCAGGTGACCTGGGGGCCGCTGTCCCCCGGGCTCGGGGGACGGGGCTGGCCCTGGCCCGGCGCCGCTCGCTGCATCCCGCGGGGAACGCGGGACGGGGACGGGGACAGCGGTGCCGCTCCTGTCGGGACGCAAAAGGAGCCCGGAGCCCCGCGGTGGGCGCGGGAGGGCGAGCCCGGCTCGGGCTGTGCGGGGCGGGCGGGGATGAGAGGGTCGGGATCGCACCTTCCCCTTCCGAGGCCGCGCTCCCGCCGGTCACCGCCGCGCTCGAGTCCTTTCCTTTCCACCTTGGTTCTTCCCGGGAAGGAGCCCGGGCACCGGAGCTGCGGGGCCAAGGTCGGGGTGAAGCGCCGAGCGGGCGGCAGCGCTGCTGCGGCACCAAAGTCCGCGCGGTTCCCTCCCCGACACGGCCTGCGCCGACACGTGAGGTCGCTCCAGGCAGCGCTGGCCGCGCCTCAGTCGTCCCGTCCCGTCCCGTCCCGCCGGCAGAGCGCCTCAGGCCCCTTCCCCTGCCGCTGACCCGCCGAGCTCCCTTGCTGCGCCGCGGGGACGAGGCGAGTGTCTCCTACCCACAGATCTGTCCCCACCCGCAGATCCCCACCCCGCGCTGCGGGTGTTTGGCCGCACCCCGCGGCTCTGCCCCCCCTGGGTGTCCCCAGCTGTGCTCAGGGGACAGCGCGGCCGGGGCTCGCCCATGGGCTCACCTGGCGGCCGCCACAGACACCTCCCACCCGCCTGACCCCACCTCTGCTCCCTCTCCCTGCTGATTCCGGGTGATGCTCCCCCCTCGGAGCAGCTGAGGTGCCCCAGGTACCCCACCCCAGGGGAGGATGGACAGGGGGATGCTGCGGGAAGGAAGGACGGACACGGAGCAGCACGTGCATCACAAGGAGATTTATTTCTGCCACTTCAAGTGGCCAGGAGCGTTTGGAACGTGTGTGGCTGGCGGGGCGGGGCGGTTCAGTTCTGCGGGGGCGCGGCGGTGCTGAGGAAAGCGGCCACCTTGTCCCGCACCTCCTTCTCCAGCAGCTCCAGGTGATCCTCCACGCCGGCCGCGCCCGAGTCCAGCTTGCCGCGCATCTCCTCCAGCCGCTGCACCAGCTGCTGCCCGAAGGTCTCTCCGAAGGGAGCCGCCTGCTGCCGGAAGGTCTCCAGGCTCTGGCCCAGGCGCTGCTCCAGCTGCTGCGCCAGGGGCTGCAGGCGCTGCCGCAGGCTCTCGGCGTCGCCGCTCGCCGCCTCCCGCAGCTCCCGGGCCAGCGGGCTCAGCTGGGCGCGCAGCTCCTCGGAGCTGGCGGCCAGGCGGGCCCGCAGCTCCTCGGCCGCCCGCTCCATCTGCGCGCTCAGGCTCTGCAGCTGCCGCTCCAGCCCGTCCCGCACCTCCTGCGCGTAGGGGCTGAGCCCGCGCCGCAGCTCGGCCACGCTCTGCTCCACCTGCGCCTTCAGCTCGTCCGCCACGGGCGACAGCCGCTGCTTGACGCTCTCCACGCCGCCGTCGATCTGCTGCTGCAGGCGCTCGGCGTAGGGGCTCAGCGAGGCCTGCACGCTCTCGGCGTTGTCCTGCAGGCGCTCCCGCAGCTCGGCCGCGTAGGGCTCCAGCGCCCGCCGCAGCTCCCCGGCGCTCTGATCCACCCGCGAGCGCAGCTCCTCGGCGTACGGGCCCATCTTGGCCTGCAGCTGCCGGATGTTGGTGCCGATCTGCTGGTGCACCTGGTCGGCGTAGGGCGCCAGCTTGGCCTGCAGCTCCTGCAGCTCCCGCTGGATCTGCTCCTTGAGGCGCTGTGAGTCCTGTGCCAGCTTGGCCTGCAGCTCCATGGCGAAGGGCTCCAGGCGCTGCTGCAGGTCCTCGGCGTAGGCGCTGACGCTCTGCAGGTTGCTCTTCAGCAGGGTGCTGGGAACAGGGGACACGTCAGGGCCTGTGAGCCCCCACCCCCGGGCCCTGCCTGCCCCCCGAGCCCCCCGAGCCCCCCGGTCCCAAGGCTGGGCTCACTTGAGCTGCTTGCTGAGCTCGGTCTGCTGCAGCTGCTCCGCCGTGTCCTTGGCATTGCTGCCCAGCTCCGTGAAGTACTTCCAGATCACGCTGGCCACCTCGTCAGGGTTCACATCAGCCCGGGAGCCTGCAGGGGGTGCTGGGTTCAGAGCTCACACAGTCCCATTCCCCCGGGGACAGCGGGGACACTGCCATCCCTGCCCTGCTGGCACCAGGGACCCGCACAACACCTCACCTGAGATCGCCAGGAGAAGCAGGACAAGGGCGGCCGCCTTGGGCGCCATCCTGAGGGCTGGGGACTCCTGTGGGAGCACAGAGAGAGGTGAAGGAAGGCCCAGGGACCAGCAGCCCCCAGCCAGAGGCCATGGAGAGCCGGGCTCCCTCCCGTCTCCCTCCTGGCTCCCTGCACTGCTCACCTGTGCTGCCAGTGCCGCGGTAGCTGCAGAGCCGGCAGCTCCCAGCACTATTTATGCAGCCCGAGGGCTCCTGCAGCTTCCACGCAGGCTGTGACACAGCAAGGGCTTGGACTTTAGTCGGTCACAACGTGGAAGTGCCTGACGTGTGCGCAGCCCTGACATCACCCAGGGCCCTGACATCACCCGCGGCCCCGCCGGCCCCCAGCAGGGGGACAGGGACAGACAGGGGTGGGGGACCCACTGAGCCCCTCCTGGGGACAGGGCCTGGGCTGGGGGACACCTCAGTGCTTTGTGGAGGCAGCAATGGCTCTGTCAGTGCTGGCAGGGCAGTACCTGGGATGGGTGGCAGTGTGACAGGACATGGGGGCTGGGGATGCTGCAGGGACCCGTGCGTGTCCCCGGCCGTGGGCATCGGGCTCTGGGCACGCACCGGGGGCAGCCCCCGGCCCAGCCCCGGGCACAGCGGAGCCGCGGCCGTGTGTCCCTGCGGGCAAAGGGCACGGCGGGCAGGGCAGGGACCGGCCGGGCAGGGGCAGTGCCAAGGTCCGAAGAGCCTCGCGGTGCCCGAGGGCGATGTGCCCGGGGACAGGGCCGCTGGATGTCACCCTTGTGCCGTGCGTGCCCGGGCTGTCCCCTCCGCGGGCAGCGCGCTGGCTGCGCACACGCGTGTGCCCACGCTCGGCTGTGTGCACACACGCACAGACACGCGGGGCACCAGCAGCTCCGTCCCGCGGCATTTCCCAACTCTTGGCTGGACGCAGCGCCCCTGCAGCCCCCCCGCGCCCTGCCCTGACCTTTGCACGAATCCCCCGGGCGGCCGTGGGGAGGCTATAAAGAGAGAGCCCGGGGCTGCCCCCGCGTCAGAGCCCGGCACAGGTGAGTGGGGACACCCCCGGCGAGGGCCGTGCTGGGAAGGGGACGGGGTCGGGACCCACATCGTGCGCTCTGCTCTCTCCCCAGCCATGAAGGCGTCGCTGCTGTTCCTGCTCGCCTGCACGGCCGTCCTGGCGCTGGGAGCAAGTAAGGGCCGGGGGCTGCGCTGGAGGAGGGGTGGGGGCTCAGGGCGATGGGGGCACACGGGAGGGGGGCACAGCCGCGGGACCCCGCGCCCCCAGTGCCACCAGGCTCGCCCTTGCAGGGGCCGACACGTCCGAGGAGCCGAAGGCGCTGGTGCAGAAGGTGCAGGAGCTGGCCCAGAAAGTCTCGGCCATGACCAAGGACGCCTTCAGCAGGGTGCGGGAGTCGGAGGCAGCGCAGCAGGCCAGGTGCCCCCGAACCCCAGCCCTGTCCCTGTTCCCGGTGCCGGGGACCCGGCCAGGGCCCCGCGCTGACCCCCTGCCCTCCCCTGCCCTCCTCTCCCCTCCCGGTGCAGGCAGTGGCTGTCGGACAACGCGGAGCTGGCGAAGCAGCGGCTGGCGTGGCTCAAGGAGCAGCTGGCCGAGCTCCTGAAGAAGACTCCGGCCTCGTAGCCTCGCCAGGGGCTGCCCGGGCTCCGTCGGGGCTGGGGACCCCCGGCTCCCCCCCGTGTCGTGGTGCTCTCAATAAAGCGGGGCTGATGCAAACGCTTGTGCTGCCATCACTGGGGGCTGGCCGGGAGGAGTGGGACCCGCAGGGGCAGGGAGGGCTGGGACAGACACCAGCACCAGGGTACACACGGCCGTGTCGGGGTGCCCAGGGTGGCAGGAGCCGGGTGATGCTCCAAAAAACTCCTGCACATTCAGTGCCACACACCCAGTGCCCTGTGTGGGGCTGAGCTCGGCTGCACCTCGGGCAGAGCTGGACTCAAAGGCACCCCTCAGCAGCCCAGGGCACCCCTCATCGGCCCAGGCTGCCCTCAACAGCCCAGGGCTCCCCTCATCAGCTCAGGGCACCCCTCAGCAGTTCTCTGTCTCCCCAGTCCCTCTGGATCCCCCAGTACCCCCAGCTCAGAGCACCCCTTGCCCCCTCCAGCATCCACTGCAAAGACTGAGCGAGCTCCAATAACTTAAGTCAAGTTTATTTCTCAAAAGGGAGGCAAAGCTGAGAGCGACGCCGGGCTGGGGAGGGAATTCTAGGGGAAGAGGGGGTCTCCGGGGAGGACACCCTAGGGCTCCTGCAGCCTGTCCCCAGAGCCCCCTGAGGAGAAGTGCCCGGGGCAGGGCAGGGAGCACCCGGGGCAGCGGCGGAGCGGGGCTGGGGTCAGTCCCTGGCCGCGCCGGCTGGCAGCTCAGGCCACGGTCTTCTGGAGCTCCTCCAGCAAGCTGAGGAAACGGGCTTTGAGGCTCTCGGTGTAGGGGGTGAGGCGCTCCTTGAAGTCCTGCACCAGGGGCGTCATCTTCTCCCGCAGGCTGCTGAGCTGCTCCACCACCTTGGCCTGGTATTCGGCGGCCTGGGGGATGCCCTTCTCCCGGATCTCCTCCAGCTTCTGGCTCAGCTTCTGGCGCAGCTCATCGCTGAATGGGGCCACGTTCTTGCGCAGCTCCTCGACGTGCCCGCGCAGCCGGTCCCGCGCCTCCTCGGCCACCGGGGTCAGCTTCTGCTGCAGCAGCTCCACCTTCTGCTTGCTGAGCTCCTTCAGCTCCTGGGCGAGGGGTGCCAGGCGCTGGCGGTACTGCTCCAGATCCTCCGTCCACTTGGCAGAGAACTGGTCCAGGAAGGGCTTGATCTTCTCCTTCACCTCCTCCAGGTCCTTGGTCAGCTCCTTGCGCAGGGACTCGGTGTCTTTCAGCCACATCTCCCGCACCTCTTTGTAGTAGGGGGCCATGTCCTCTCTCAGCTTAGCGGCGGCCGCGCCCAGCGTGTCGAGGTTCTCGCCCAGCTTCAGGCTGCGGGACGGGAGGGAGGGAGGGAGGTCACGCACGGCGCCCGGGCGCCCCCAGCCCCCCGCCACTCGCCCCCCACTTACTCCAGCTGTTTGCCCACGGTGGAGGCCTCGAACTGGGCAATGGCTTCCTTGCCGCTGGCCTTCACGGAGTCCAGGTACACATCGAGCATGTCCCTGAGGCGATCCAGGGGCGCCTGGGGCTCATCGTGCTGCCAGAAGGAGCGGGCCTGGGTGCCTGCGGAGAGAGCCGATGCTCAGGACGCGCCGCCCGGGGACGGCTCCAGCCCTGCCGGGGTCCTGCCCGGCTCGGGAGGAACCGGGGAGCCCCTCGGCTGCAGCCCGGGTCCAAGGCAAAGCGCTTCGGAAAGCGGCGGCTTCCAGCGGCGCTCCCGTCCCGCCCGTGCCGCTCCATCCCGCGGGGATCCGCAGCCCCGGCCGGACCTACCCGTCAGGCAGAGCAGGGCGAGGGTCAGCACCACGGCTCTCATCTTCGCGCTGGACCTGCGGGCAGAGCAAGGGAGTTGGGCGCGGGGAGCCGGGGCAGAGCCAGCCCGGCGGGACCGAGCCCCCAGCCCGGCTCAGGGGTCCCGCTCTGTCCCGGCGGCTCCTCGGGGCAGCCCGGGCTCTTACCAGCTCTCTCCTCCGCTGCTGCTCGTCCCGTCTGAGCGGCCGGGGCTCCGCCGCCGCTATTTATGCCGGAGGGGCAGTTCCGCGGAGATAAGCCAGCGGCGGCCCCCGATGTGCGCGCAGGGTTCAAGGATCGCGGCATCGCCGCGGAGCGCGGCTTGGCAGGGGCGGCGAGCAAACAGGAGCTCCCCGCGGGACGCGCCTCGCCGGCCAAGGAGCTGTTTACGCTCCCGGTGACCCAGATTCCCGCTGGCCTTGCCGGGGCCCCTCGCAGCCCCCAGGGATTGGCCGCGGGCCCGGGGACAAGGTTTATTCCCGCAGGGATTTGGCCTGCCGTACCCGGACCCCTCGCCTCGGCCGCGGGTCTGTGCCCCGTCCTTCACGGGGCCGCTCACGTCACCCCCTTTTCCCGCTGTGTCCCCAGCTCACAGGTCCCCTGCCCGCCCACACCGGCCCTCGCTGGGGACCTGGGCAAGGGGAAGGGGAAGGCTCAGAGCAGGCACCAGCACTGGCACGGCCGCCACAAAACCGCCCTCAGCCCGAGCCCCAGAGCTTCCCTGTCCCACTGCCACCAGTGCAGGGATGCACGGGAATCAGGCTGAGCCCGGCCAGGCAGGGGGAGAGAGGGGACGGGGAGAGAGGGGCCGTGTCCCCAGAGGGGCTGCAGGGGCTGTGCAGGGCTGGCACCGCCAGGGCAGCTGCTACAGAGGAACGATGCTCCCGTTTCTGTGTGGCACCGGCTCCCTGCAGCCCCAGCCCGTGCCAGCCCGCTGGGCAGCGCCAGGGCATCGCACGGGAACTGCCCCCGCAGGTGCTGCAGGCACAGCTCAGCTCCCCGCGCCTCTCAGACCCTGCCTGCAGCTGGAAAAGCCCCAGGGCAGCAGATGCCGGGCAGGCTCCGATCGGCAGCACTGCCGGTCCCCACGCCCCACGGCGAGCCGGGCTCGGGCAGCAGGGGGCTGCGGGTGCCGGGGGGCTTCGGGAAACCCGGCCAGGGGGGGCTGCTGGGGACTCGGGCAAGTGACAGCGCCAGGGATGGGCTGGGGACACAGCAGCTGCCGCCCCTTGAACTTTGGTGTTGGGCAACAAGGCAAACAAGAGCCCAGGGAAGATCATAATCATGGTTTTATTTGTTATGATCCCACTGTCCAACTAATTGACTAGTTGCAAGTGACCCACAAAAAATGGACTGAAGATTTACTGAAACTTTTTTTTCCTGTTCCGTTTTTAGTCCAACATAAATGAGGAAGAAAAAAAAATACTTCTGACATTTCCAAAAAACAGAAATAATAGCAAAGTATATTAATATACATTCAACATATACTGCGCGTATTGATTACTACAATACAAAGCCATGATAAAAAAAGTGTGATACTGCGGATGGCACGGTGACGGCCCTGCGGGGCAGCTGCTGCTGGGGGGGGCCCGGCGACTCTCCCAGGATACAGTGTCATGTAAACAAAAGGAAAATGAACCAAAGGGACAGAGCAAAAGGCTTTCGGCGTTCCCCACCCTTCCCGCTCCATCCCGCGGGGCCGGGCTCTGGAGCTTCCTTCCCTCCTCTCTGACTCTCGGGATTGCAGAGCTGTCAGCGTCTTCTCCCGGAGAAGGGGAGGCCGGGAAGAGGCACGGGGTAAGGATAGCAAAGTCACCTCTGCCGTGCTGGTTTCACACTTCCTTCTGTGCAAAGTCAGGAGGGCTGGGTCGATGTTTCCTTTAGTTTTAAAAAATATTCCGGAAAAAATGTCAGTAAGAAGGGTCTGAGCTGGAGCTTGTCAAGTCCCAAAGGCAAGGGTGACACCACGTGCTCCTGAGCCCCGGGGCGGGGGGGCCTCCCGCTCCATCCACCACGGAAAGGATGGAAAAGGGACAAAGAAGAGACCTCTGCACGTCCCGACTGTATAAGGAGAATTACCACTGTCGCCACTGGCACGAGAGAAAACCAGTCACAAGTACAATGTCATTAAAAGAAATAAAATACTTTGAACAAAAGGTGCAAGTCACAATTCATATAGAACAGAATCTAGTTAAAAATTTCTCTCAAACAGAAATTCCTTTTGCCTTTTATTAATAACAATAATAATAAAACAACATTTACCAAAAAAAACAATTCCTACGTGATCGGGAGGAAAAGCGAAGGAAACAAAGAAAAATCCGTCTGCCCTACATTAGCCAGGAAAAGAAAAAACCCCAAGTCGTGGCAGATTTGGAAAGAAAAGGGGAGGGAGGGCAGGGCAGGGGTGATCCTGTCAGCACCCCGACACACGAGAGGGAACAGAGCAGACAGAGGTGAGACAAGAAGTGAATTGCACCGGGGTGGGGAGGGCCCTGCCAGGCCCAGACCCCCCCAGTGCAGAGGACAGGGGGGAAGGAGAGCGTGGCCTCCATCCAGGAGCGGCTCCAGCCCCCTTGGAGCTGCCCAGGGCAGGCTCCAGGGAGGCTCAGCCCGGCGTGGGGCCCCGGGCAGGGCCAGCCCCCAGAGCAGCCCCGGTGCCGAGGCCGATCCTCCGTGTCGGGCTCAGGGCTCTGGGTGTAGCTGGAGTTACAGGCAAGTGTGGCAGAAATTAAAGAACCCAAAGGAACGACACACTGGATGAAGTGAGGATGAGGAAGGGGGCCATGGTATTCCAGTTAGTCAGAAATACTACGGCAATTTGGCGCAATGCTGCTAGATACTGTTGGTTTAAAATGGACCTTTTCATTTCAAAGCTGTACACAAACCCTGCAAGAGAGAGAAAGAAGATGTTAGGGGACACCAGAACAGCACATCTCCTCCCACAGCCCTCCAGCACTCCCAGGCCATTCCTGACCCTGCCCCAGGAGAGAGAGCCTGCTGTGCAGAGGGGTCTGAGTGCAGCACAAGCCTGGAAGGAGGGATGCTGTCCCTGGGCACACGGGGCACAGCAAACAGCTTCAGCACAGGAGCTCTGAGTGGATGGTCCAACCCCAGCACCGGAGCAACGAGCAGGAAAGGCGACCCATGGGAGTGAGGCCCGAGGTGTGGTGTGGTGAGAGAAGGACACAGGGATACTCACTCCCTCCTGGTTACACCCCTGCCTGCTCCATCCCAAAGGGCACCTCCGGGTGCTTGTAGCTCAGCAGGACGTCCGTGATACACGTCGAGGGGTAGCA